CATATCCCCCCCCCCCCCTATTATTCAGCGTCCCTTATTTGAAAAAGTTTTGAATTATTTATATCTGCTTTGCACACGTTTTTTTACCGCAGCACTTGAGTTGATACGGTAAGGTTTTTCACTGAGCGTCAACTTTCGTTTTGTTCTTGTGCATCTGAAGTTACAATAGTTATTTTATAAGAATCTTCTTGCGAAATGATATCTGAACAATCTTGCTGGAAAAAAACAGTACTCTTATCTCTGCTGAAGTGAAATATTATATTAGATTATATACGCATTTTCTTTGATTTCGCCACAACTCAATCTATTAAATTGAATAAGCATATCAGAATTTCATGATTTTTTCTAGAGAAGGGTATCCGGAGATTTTTACATATTCAGAATTAAATTTGGTAAATGTAAGGTGCCAGCAATGCGAATTTCGAGTGAAATTTTTTTTTCTGCTTTTTTTTACACCATTTGATAGAGTGTGAGCTGCTGATCACGAAAAACTACTTTTTAGCCTTAGCAAATACTTCCTTCCGGTCGAAAAATCCGAAATACTGCGAAGATGTCATTTTTCGAGAAAAATACATCTTTTTCGAAATGTGCAAAATTTTCTACTTTGTTCATTTTTTCGGCTTCTGAAAATAATTTTTTCAGATTCAGTATCAAAAACTGAGTACAGACAAGTCATTAAATCGACTCTAGACTCAAAACTCTATTGTTAGTGGCGCTTCAAATCGCGTCAAACGAGACGCGTATAGGTTGATTTTGTAACCCTATCTCGTTTTTCTGCATACGTGATGGAGACAAATATTTTATCTCATTCGACTCATCATACCACCAGTTACAAAGTTACAAGACCATTTTTTTTTCTTTTCTTTTCTGTGTTGAGAAAAATTGCTTTTATTGGTATCATAAGACAAACGGGAAGATCATTTTTAAATAAAATGCCTATTTTTCATTCAAACGAAGTGAAAATTTGTTCACACAGGTAAAAACTGATGACAAATCCAATGGGCATACTTTCTAGATCTCCAGAGGGACTTGACCGGAAGGAAGTATTTGCTAAGGCTAAAAAGTAGTTTTTCGTGATCAGCAGCTCACACTCTATCAGATGGTGTAAAAAAGAAGCAAAACAAAATTTCACTTGAAGTTTGAATTACCTACACCTTATAAAATTATGTAGTTTATTAATTATGTATTATGTAAATTATGTGTTTATTGGAATACATGCATTTTCTGCGCTGTATTTTGAGTCGAATATTATTGTTGGAAAAGGAAAAGAACGGAAATGTTTCACATAATGAAATATGCTAGGGACCTGCGGTTTTCACCATTTGGTAGAGAAGACTTTACGGATTCATGCATTGCGGATTTGAAAAACCTCTGATTTTATTTCCACATGCTGTAACTCGTAAGTCTTCAAAAGGTTTGGTCGCTGTTCTCTTAAGTTCTATAGTGCCTCTATGTTTAAAGTATACAGTAGGTAGCCTAGAATGTCCTCTACAAAAGTACGTAAGTTCCAAGGTCCATCTATCACGACTATATCAGCTTTGGGGTGGACGTATGTATCGGCTGAACTTCAAGTTTGGAAACTTCCAAAACACATGGAATATAGGTTATCGATCTTCCACAATCTCGTGGCAATATTAGTTTTCCGCAAAAAATTCAAGAACCTATTGAAAACCAATATTAGGTGAAATAACTCATTTTTGAGTAAAATTGAAATATTCGAGTGCATTGCATAACCATTGTACGGTTGTTTATCGGAGAAGATTTTCTCGAAGGTGAATAAATGAAAAACAAACAAAAGGAGATACCAACCGAAGACTCAATTCAAACTTGAAGAGTACTCTTTTTTATTCATTATTCATAATATTAATCATATATCATTAATATTCATATTATAATATACATATGAATGAGAGAAGAGTATGTATAAATAGCTTAATTTATTTAGCTATTGAAGTTTAAGAAATTATCTAGATGGCTTGATAATATCATGACTAACGTGCAAGTATCATCATTAGGAACTTTAAATGCAAAGAATGATGCTGTCAAAGCGAATAGAGAGAATGTCATATTGTTATGGTAAGTAACATAGGAATAATGATTTCCTTTGATAGGTCAACAGGGAAAAGCTTAGTAGCCGAGACTAACAGTCTAAGCTTCTTCATATATGTTGTAATCATAATTCAAATTCAGTCCAATTTTAAATTGGACTAGTCATAATTCTAATTGGAATTGTGACTAGGCATAATTCAAATTGGAAGTATGACTGAAGAATATCTAGTCATAATTAAAATTAGAAGTATGACTAGTCATAATTCTGATTGGAATTATGACTGTCTCAGTCATAATTCAAATCCAGTCATAATTCAAATCCTTTCATTCAACATCATGATTAAAGCTATTATTTATATTGTTTACAAGTTTGGTTGTTTTTCAAGTAAAATCAGATACTCATGCTCTTAGCTTCCCTGCTCAACAGTAAATTCCCATTCTGACACTACTGGAGCAAGTACTGATCTACTTCACCGCGTAGAGGTGGCATGATGCGAAGCAGTATTTTTTTTATCAGCAGGACAGGCTTCTTTCAAATCAATTAAACTTTCAACTGTGTATGAATTCTGTAACTTACCAAATTTACAAGCTAATCTAAACGTTATATTAATTGATTAATTGATACACCAACACAATCATTAATATTTAACAATTCCGATCTAGTTTTTAAACGTGCATCATACTCCTTCCGTTTTTTGTTTACAATATTCAAATAACTATCTGTTGCTCGTTTTCGTATAAGTAGTGTGGGTTGTTTGATAAAATTCATTTCACTTATAACAAGGATAATAAACTAAAATCATGTCATCTTCTTCAGTAACCACCCTCCAAGCCAATATTGATTTGGAAAAACCTTTCTACGAAGAACTCGAAAAACATATTAATTCATTAAATAGTAAATATCGTGAAAAATTTGTAATAAGAAAACAGACTTGTGACGACATTTCAAAAGCATTATTATTAGAAGGAGGTAAGAAATCCGATTTATTTTCACCACCGTTTATTTTTGGAAAATTGTTAAAGAACATAATGTTGAGGATGAAGATCAGTTACCAACAGCTGTTGCTGAAGCTGATGATGGAAGAGCTGATGATATAACAAGTTGTACATTAAATTCAAATGAATTAGTTGATGATATTGATAGTGATATAAATCTCCTTGTTAAAAAATTAACAGATGATGCTGTTGATACTGTTTGTAATTCTGTTACTGATTTATCTTCTTCAAATTCTCATTCAGATGTTCTTTCTCAACCTTCATCATTTT